ATATTACAACAATACTAGGAAACTCAATGAAAAAGAGGAAAAACTTTTCATCATTCCTGGTTTCATCAGACAAATGTAATTTTTACGTTCTTCTAACTACAGGATTTGGATTTAAGAAATACTACTTCAATTAAAATTGAAAACGGTTTAGGAAGTCGAATGTGTATATAAAGTGCTTTTATCGCTAAATCATCCACAGTGAATTTACGACCAGTCTCTTAAATTTCACCTTTATTGGCAGATGCTTCTATTATCACAATATGCGACATTAATAAGAATGGTGACAAGAGCATAAACCAGAAGAAAAATTTATCAACTCTTTTCAGGTTATTTAAAACAATATTTTTAAATTGTAAGAATACTTTTTTTAAAATAATGATGGTTCTTTTTAGATAATAACGGTCTTTCATTAAATAATAATGGTTTTTATAGATAATAATGTTTTTTTAGATAATAATGTTCTTTTTAGGTAATAATGCTTTTTTTAGATAATAATGTTTTTTTTGTTTTTTTTTTAGATAATAATGGTTTAGTAATAAAAATCTTACTAATTAACACATAGCCAGGGAAGAGATAAGTGATTCATACCTTTTCCAAGTGTATTTTCTCGTGAATTGTTAGAACGAACCTGACAAATATAAGAACACGGCAATCCGATTAACAATGCCACCCGTACATCCATGCTTTCGCATCTGGTATTCCCAAATGGTCATCAATCCAAGTACTGACTAAGCTCGACGTTGCTTACCTTCAGTGATTGTAGGGGAACCGGTGTTTCCGCCTGTAGGCCGTCAAAGTAAAAGAGACTAAACGAAATTGTACAGATTGAAATATATTGAAATAAAAATAATTTAAAAGATTACAGTTTCAGCGTCACCTCGCTTTCCTGTCCACAATGTAAATATGACTTTAGTCCAATGAAGTTTTGTAGTACGAAACGCGTCGTAACTATTTTTCCCACTTTGTTTTTAATTTTCCTAATATATAAAGCATACTCATATTTATAAAACCTACACATATAAATAGCAAGTTCACATCTTAAGTGACCGTTAAACCGTAGGTAAGTCTCCATGCAGTGTTGAATTCTTTATATTGTATACTAGACTATCCGTGACTTGTTGGGTCACTGACAGTTCAGGTCAAAAAGCAGAGAAATAATTTCAACATTAAAAAAAGCGTCTGATTGAAAAATGTCGAAATAAAAATACTTACTGTACAAATAACTTGCATTTTTAAATCTTATTCACTTAATTTTTTTTTAAATCAGATTAACTTAAAAATATTTTTAATATGCCAAAAAATATTTAAAAATATATTCACTTGAAAATAAATATGGTACAAATATTTTTTAAATATTTAAAATATTGTTTGCTTAATGTACGTACCTCTAAGAATTAGCTAAGCGTAAGGTTTAAAATGATTTTTTTTTAATGAAAATGCTTTCCTAAAGCTTTCAGTTCAGCTTTAAATGAAAGCTAACTGATTAAATTTACTATACCCGGTAAGCTTAGTACTTTGGTGTATTTCAGGCAGCAATTATATTGATTGGAATAGAATTCATTTTTTTTTCAGCAAAATTGATACCATCAGCCATTTGTTAGACATTTTTAAACAAAACTTAATTTTCCGTTTATATCTTGCAAAAATAAAATATATATTTCTGAAACGTTTTTTTTTTAGGAAAATTAGCAAATTTAAAGTTAAGTTATTCTATTTGAAATTGAACAAGGGACAGCATGTCTCTCCAAATATTCCGGCCCCATCCGCGGTAATGTTGTGATGATGAGTCAAAATCAACCAAGAAAACTTTTCCCAGTCTGGCTTCGTTTTCCTTTAATTTTAGCAACCCGGTATGTTTTCAAGTAAATCACGGATCTCCAATTCTTCTACTTTTTCTAAACGTCTTTCGAACTTATCTATGCTCGTCAGTAATTATGGCAAAGGTAATCATAATAGCCGAATATGAAATATTGTTGGCTGAACAGCCAGGAAATGAGTTTCGCAAGTCCAGTAACTGTTATTGCTCTTTCCAGTGTTGACGGAAAAAGCATCTAATGTGATATTGGCACCATATAATGGTGCCAACAGCACATTATGTATGTTTTCAAAACAACTGAGGCTATCAATCAGAAAGAGAACAGCATAATAGCCGTTATCTTATATGAAACATTGTTGGCCGAGCTGCCAGGAAATAAGTTTCGCAAGTCCAGTAACTGTTATTGCTCTTTCCAGTATAGACGGTGGCTTCTTTACTTGCTGTTTTTCTTTGTAGAATAAAAAACATCTTTATTATGTCATTATTCTCTTTTTGAGTTACATATGCCATCCATTTTAGCTATTGCTGCTGTTGAAATTCCTCAAGTGATGTTTCTGTTATTTGGTATAGTTCTTTGGGATTCTGTAGCACCATTCAATGATGTTCAAAGAAGGATGGTCCACGCTAAGACTTATATGTTTTATTCACTCGAAGAATTTTCTAGACATTGATATGAGAAAATGGCCGTATACAACTGACAGTTTAGATATTTCTGAAGGAGGATGATAGCATGCATGACATTCTTATGTAAATCTTGTTAAAATTTTGATTTTGTATCAATTTCCAAATTTGAACGAAACTACCTGAAGAGCAGCCTATTTTATGTTCAGTTTTCTTATGTCCTATACTAAATTGATTAAACAGATCAATACATCGTCGTATCGGAAGGGTTTGGAATTTACTAATTCTTTATCCTGAAATTTTTATGATTATTTCAGAATATTTTAATTCCAATTCCATATCATAGTTTCTGTTTGGATAGGTTTGTCTTAAGTCCAATTTCTTGGAACACTTGGTAGAATTTGTTGATTGTTTGAACAAGATCATTCTTATTCCAAGAATGAGCATCTACTTCATAGCCCACTCAACATTTGGACATTGGCTTCGGCATGAGAAGTAGGAACGCTGTTTTTTGTTAGTAGATTCGTTTGGGATGTGGTATGGAGGGATTTTATAATCAATGTCCTTGTCTTCACGTCATAAGTTGGGCATAAATATCACTAATATATTTCCGTTTTTTCAGTTCACATTCAAGACAATTGAGGCTAACAATCAGAAAGAGAACCGCTGATATTTTGGGGACATACAACAAGCAAAGGGGGTTTGGACAATTTAGCACTCAGGGTGACGCACAAAGAAAGAGTTTTAACATATTTGAATGAACGGTGTGTAGAGCAAGAACAAAGGAGGGCAAAAGTAGCAACAAAAAACAGGAATTTGTAGCGGGTAATGATCAGCCACTAAAAGTAATGGCGTGTATAGAAGAAGAATCATAATGAAGAAGAATGAGAGAGAGAGGGAGAGAAAGAGAGAGAGGGAAGGTAAAGAAGAAGGATGAAGAAAACGATGAAGAAGAAGATGAGAAAGAAGAATGATGAAGAACAAGACGGATGGAAAAGGTAATGAAGAAGATTGAGGGACGAGATAATGATGAAGAGGAAGAAGAATCGGGAAAAAGAAGATAATGATGATGATGAATAAGAATGTCGAGGAAGAAGTAGATGAAGAAGAAGAATGAGGAAGAAGAGCGAAGAAGAAAAATGAAGAAGGAGGAGGAGTAGGAAGAAGAAGAAGAAGAAGAAGAAGAAGAAGAAGAAGAAGAAGAAGAAGAAGAAGAAGAAGAAGAAGCGATAAACCAGTAAACCAGTTTATCATTTTTTTTTCAGATTTTATCCTTGTGGTCTACTGAAACTTTATCTCACTCTTACTGATCTAAACTCGGGTTTAACGTTTCATCACAGTTCCCAATGCGCTGAATATTAATGGCACGACCATAACCAGTTTATATTCTAAAGTTTTCTTAACATTTTTGCTTATTTCCAATTTTTCGATTTCTTTCGTCCTTATAGCGTGTTCATCTATATTGTTGCATCAAATAGTTTTCTTTTTCTCATTCATTGTAACATTACGAATCCCGTAATTTATTAGCAACGTGGGGACTGCGCATGCGCTGCAGTCATTGCAAATGCGATGTGGATAACGTAGGAAAAGATTGCTAGATTATGGCAATATCACTTATGTGTGTGTGTTTTTTTTTAATTCATAGTATTGTGGCAACACGAAGTAAATTCGAACTTGTTCCGCCGATTTTCTTTTCTCAGATCGCTGCGCTTACCTCACAATATATATAATACTCTTGTTCCCGATAAATCCTGTCCTCACGCCTAGAGGAATGTGTCGATCGAGATGGCAAAGTCTCAAAGTATCTTATTCCGTTTTCTCTGATATCCAGGGTATTTTCTTGGTCAACAATCCAAGAATAGGAGAGATTTTGGCCGTCTCTCCACCTGCTGGTGATTCTGTTCGAACAAAGACTCATCAAAGTAGATTAATAACGTCAACCTAATAATTGACTCCAGTTCAAGCGACGAGAAGAAGTATAGACTTGACAAACATTATATATTATTCTCACATCGGCTTTAAATTTTAAACATAGAAAGTTTTCCTTTTTTTTCTTATCTACTTCCTCCGAAATATACGTGTGTATTTGTAGAAATATTTCTTTGTCTCATTATCCAAGTCTACAACCTTCTCCTCTTCAAAACACTGTTCAGTGTTGTAAATGTTATCTGAACTTTGTACGTGATACAAAAATAAAAGCAGTTAACGCAAAAAGATGATATTATTGTCATATATCTTTTTTTTTAATATCTGCGGGCAAATTTGAAATTTCTTGTATTCACGACGAAGTCATTCAGAGCTCAAACTGGCGGAAATACAATACACTCCAAGATACGCTAGTATATTATGTCGAAAATTCTAAAAAGTACAAAAAATGAATTTACATCTGAATGTACAACAGAGACACATTTATAAACGCCTCTACACACGACCTCCAGGAAATATAGCACAAGACAGTGTAAGCAAATTATGAATGTTTTTTTTTGTAAACATTACAAGTTTATAAAACTGATGAATCTATCTAGGTTAGAGAGTGTTGTGCCAAATATATTCAAGTTCTCATCAGACCATAAGTAGAACTAATGTGTACAATCTATCGTTTAAAATGATGGAAAATGGTTGACTCCTTTTAATCCATGAGAAAGTACCTGGCTGTTCCTGAAGTAAGTTGAAAGTTTCTTATACCATTCCAGAAAATACGTGAAACTTCTTTACAAGATCAGACCAAAAATGGAGTACCGTTGCAATATCTTGCCTGGGACTGCATAATCTAGCCTTTATAGAGTTAAAAGTCACCTATGTGACTTTCTGGATCACGAAATTTTTTCCATATGTTCCACTCGAGCCGCCTCTTCCCGCGAACCACTGCCCTGTGGAACCGAGTGCCAGCAGGATGTTTCTCCGATTACTACAACTATTCAAAGCTAGGGTTGATCATTATCTCTCTCATCTTTAACGTAACCCTCTAACGTGAGTGGCCCCCAGGCATTGTTAAGACCCTCACAATAAAAAAAAAGAAAAAACAAACGAACAAACAAAAAAACCCTCCCAAACAGAGTCAAAAGCTATGGCTTCCCTCTCGTTATTTCTATAACAATTTGATATGTCCCGGAAAGGGATATATTTGTTCAAAGTAGCAAAGTGGTTGTTGACTATTGTAACCGGGTAGGACAATCTAGCAGGTAACTATAATGGACTGGTCGTCGTCGTAGTGGTAGGCAATAGGCGTAGTCAATAGGCGAAGACTATAGGCGTAGCCAATAGGCGAAGGCTGTAGGCGTAGCCAATAGGCGTCGTCCTGTACCTCCACATCAGTCTGTATTTATGGCTGATACCAGGCATATTACTGTGAGGGGGAGCCAGGTGTATGCATATTCATTACATCACAATTGTTCTGATTTGATTCATATATTGGTTCCAAAAATCCAAACCTTCACAACTAAAACTCACCATGCCACGTACACTTGAACGAAACATTCTCATTTCCTTCATGTTCCATTATTTAAAAGGAAGTTCCATTTGGAGAGATTCTTTCGGAGAAAAATATTACCAGAAATACATTTGGAAAAAAAAATATTGCTAGCAATAAAAATTGTCGGCATTAAATAATCCATTGAGGTTGATCTGCCGTAAAACAATCCAAACCGTAAAACAAACCAAACCAAACTGGGGTTAAAACACTACGACAGTGTAAAAATAGGTTTTAATACCAGAAATACTTTGTAAAAAATTATTAATAGAAATAAATTTGCCAGCAATACATTTTAAAAAAAATATAACCAGCCATACATATTTAAAGAAAAAGAGTATTACCAGAAATAGTTTTTTTTGTAGGAAAAATATTGCCAGAAATAGACTTTTGAAAAAAAAACCAACAATAAAAATGTCGGCATTAAATAACCCATTGAGGTTGATATGACGTAAAAAAAACCAGAAACCAGATATCTTTTCACAATCTAACCGATATCATCGGGTATTTTTTTTTTCTTTTTCTCCCCATAACCTTTGTCTCTGTGACAACATAAAATCTACCAAGAATGGTGATATATTGTACGAGCACAATAATTGTGGCTGAACTAGCGATCAAAGCACTTTCCAGACATTTTCGTCTCATTATTTACATTATTCGGACTATCGTACTCATCTTTGTCGCCATATTTATTACAACGTTTCAGCCGTTGTAAGCTCCGGCCTTCGTCAGGTGGTTGGAATGTCGAACTGAACCCTTTATTTCACTCACTGGGGTAGACTGTTCTAGTTCCACGTGCCATATTTAATGGATGTCAGTTATCAGTTATCTCCTGTTAATTTCCCTCTGGAGGTTCTTGAGGACACATGGCACAGTGGGTAAAGGCTTTAGTTAGAACCAGTGACAGGACCCAAAGAGTGTGAGTTCAAAAAGGCAGTGGAGAACTTAGAATTTATAATTCTTATTTCCAACCGTATTTTCAGTCTTAAATGTAAATATGGGTCTAAATTCAAATCCAAAATTAATCTAAAATTCATTTAAATGATTAGCGACAATAACAATCAATCCTAAGACAGAATATCTCACGATAATTAGAATTAATAAAAAAAATCATAAAAACTGTGTCAACCGAAAATAATATGCACCTGAAGAATGTAGGGCATTATGTATATATTAAATAGCTCTGTGTCATTTAACACTGGGCACTATTTGTTATCACAACGTAGTATATATATATATATATATATATATATATATATGTGTGTGTGTGTGTGTGTGTATGTATGTGTGTGTGTGTGTGTGTGTTTGTATACGAATGCTTGCTCGAACAAATACCTATATTTAACCATTTGGTTATATATATATATATATATATATATATATATATATATATATATATATATATGTTTGTGTATATATATATATATATGGCTTCCTCAACCTATTTTTTTATATATCCACATTCGACTGGTTGTTCCGATTCATTTATACATTAAATTATACTATCTATCTATCTATCTATCTATCTATCTATCTATCTATCTATCTATGTTCATGTTCTATCTATCTATCTATCTATCTATCTATCTATCTATCTATCTATCACAGCGTTTTCATATTTATCTATTACATTTTGTTCATCAGCCGATCTTGTGGCATTCTCCTGTGTTTTGGCATTAATTTATATATAATGTTCTCTTTTCATGTGTCGTGCAAGGTTAGCGAACATAAGCTCTGAAAAAAAAAGTATTTTCTTTTCTAGTTGAACGGGAAAATGTATCTTTTTTCCCTCTTAAAAACGTCTTGATATATTCATTTATTCATAGAGTTTGGAATTGCTAATTCAAAAAAGCTGACAAGCTACGCACATGGAAATCAATTGATGTACAATGATATATATACACATATGTGTGTGTGTATAGATAGATAGATAGATAGATAGATAGATAGATAGATAGATATAGTGTGCGACAGATATCTGGTAACACAATTTAGCTTACCATAAATTGAAGACTAAATGAACTAACGTAATTTTGCGCGGCATGCGCCAATTTTGAACGTTTTCGTTTCTTTTCCATAACTATCGAGTGCATTAATATACTAGCATCTAATCTGTGACTGTACAGAAGACAGCACACCGTGATACGACGAGAGTTTGTTTTTTTTTAAATAAAGAACAGCTGGGCAGGATCAATGTCACATGACCCTATACGGGACCACGAATGTTGCTACGATAGAGCTCACCAACTCCACGCAGTTTGTGCTTGTACATAAACATGAAGAAGCAAACTAGTTGCCCCACAATAACAATGTAACCCTTGCAGTTTTCCAATGATTTTATTTTTTATTTTTGTAATAATAAATAAAGGGTTGCTCTGTTCTTTGAGGAAACATTTTTTTAGCATTAGCTTCTTTCTCATTTGTTCTGGTTAACATGTTTTTTCAAATAAATAATGTCAAGAATCAAGCTAACTGAAAAAGTACACCGTAATTTTTACCTTAAATGCAGAACAAAGTGATTTAGAGATTGTTTTTCTGGCCTGAAAGTTACACGCTCTGTTCACAAAGAGCTGAAAGCCGGTGATAGAGATTTTACAAGAGTAGCCAAAGGTAAAACTTCTATTATATGTCCTAATACCACCATTTGTATTTATAAAAAAAAAAAAAAACACCACTGCTAAGGAGCTCAAGTCTTCAAGGCACCCTATCTGGTGAACTGTGCGTGAAAACCTTCGATGTAAGTTATAGTGATTTTCTAAGCATAGCTTAGATGTGGCACAAGTCC